GCTAACATTTTGCTACTTTTAGCTATAGATAAGTTTTGTTACTATATTTTTTAGCTAACATTTGCTACTTTTAGCTATAGATAAGTTTTGTTACTATATCTTTTAGCTAACATTTTGCTACTTTTAGCTATAGATAACTGTTCAGTTACTTTATTTTTAGTTAACTATTTGCTATTTTTAGCTATAGGTAACTTCTGTTACTTTATCTTTTAGCTAACTTTTTGCTACTTTTAGCTCAAGGCAACTGTTGTGAGGATCCACAACCTCTCCTCCTCCACCATAACCCTCAGCACTGGCTCTCCTCAGGGATGTGTGTTGAGCCCCCTTCTGTTTACTCTGCTCACATATGATTGTGCAGCTACCCATCCAGGCTGTCACATTGTAAAGTTTGCAGATGATACAGCGGTGGTTGGATGCATCACAAACAATGATGAGTCCAGCTACAGGCAAGAGGTGGAACACCTGGAGAGCTGGTGCAGAGAGAATAACCTTCACATCAATGTGAAGAAGACAAAGGAGATGATTGTGGACTTCAGAAGGAACAAAAACACCTACACCCCCCTGAACATAAGAGGATCTGCGGTGGAAGTGGTCTCCAGCTACAAGTACTTGGGTGTACACATGAATGACAACCTCAGCTGGAGCAACAACACCACCAGCCTGATCAAGAAAGCTCATCAGAGACTCTACTTCCTCAGACGGCTGAGGCGAGCTGGTCTGGGAAGCTCAGTCCTCACCTCCTTCTACAGGTGTGCAGTGGAGAGCATCCTGTGCTCGAGCATCAATGTGTGGCATGGAGGCTGCACAGCTGCAGAAAGAAAAGCTTTGCAGAGAGTGGTGAAGGCTGCACAGAAATCTGTTGGAATCAGTCTCCCCACCATCACAGACATCTACACCTCCAGATGCAGGAAGAGGGCCACCTGCATCATGAAGGACCCCACCCACCCAGCACACACACTTTTTGCCCCACTCCCCTCAGGAAGGAGGTTAAGGAGCATTAAGTGTAGAACCACTAGACTGAGGAACAGCTTCTACCCTGAGGCTGTTAGACTCATGAATCTCTAACTAGAATAATCACTGTGAAAAAACATATCATGTTGCTGCTGATCTGTTTCATGTTGCTGCTGATCTGTTTCATGTTGCTGCTAATCTGTTTCAATGTTGATGTGTTCATGCGTGCACATCTGCTCACAGACTCATGTTCATGTTTGTGCTGATGTTCAATGTTTTATGTTATGAGTGCTTAGTGTATATTTAGTTGATGTTTTTCTTAGTTCATATCTTAGATGTTATTACTGTTTTTCTTATACATTTTATTGTTGGATGTAACTGGGACCCCGTGTACATAATTTCGCTCCACCACATGTACCACATGAGGTGCGAATGACAATAAAGAAACTCTGACTCTGACTAAGTAACTGATCTGTTACTTTATCTTTTAGTTAACTCTGCTACTTTTAGCTATAAGTAACTGATCTGTTACTTTATCTTTTAGTTAACTCTGCTACTTTTAGCTATAGGTAACTGTTATGTTACTTTATCTTTTAGCTAACCTCATGTTACTTTCAGCTATAGATAACTGTTCAGTTACTTTACCTTTTAGTTAATGTTTTGCTACTTTTAGCTATAGGTAACTGTTGTGTTACTTTATCTTTCAGCTATCCTTTTGCTACCTTTAGCTCAAGGCAACTGTTCAGTTACTTTATCTTTTAGCTAACTTTTTACTACTTTTAGCTATAGGTGACTGCTGTGCTACTTTATCTTTTAGCTAGTCTTTTGCTACTGTTAGCTAAATGTAACTGTTGTGCTACTTTGTCTTTTAGTTGAAGTAGAACCAGGTTACGGTTCTGTAATGGTCCAATCAAAGCCCAGATCTCTGCTTTGGATAACACCAACCTAATCCTCAAAAGAACCTCTCAATCCTCCCAGCTTCTACCGCCATCTGTGCCCGACATCCGGCGTCTCCTCCTGTCCATTTGGAGACAAAAACCAAACTGCACCCTGTCTCCAGATGTCTCTGTCCAACAACAGTTAAGACATCATATGTGTCTCTGCGTCAGAAACAAACTTGTCCATCAATTCGATCCATGAACCGATTCTTTACTGACTCCACGAACGGTTCAAACGCGGTTTCTAAATTTGTCCTGCGGACGCTTTGAAAGCAGCAAATTTCAAACGTGTCTTCTTTGTGTCCTGTTGGACCAGGTGTGTTGGACAGTTCCTTTCCCATCATATCAGCTCTCTTTAGTTTGATTCGAGCAGCAAACGCTGAATTCCCGAAACACGTAGTCATGTTTGTGTTTGACGTTTTCAGCTGCTCGGCTCTCAGAGCTCCCTGCCGACAGTCGAGCAGCTGAAACAACGGTAAACTTTCTGTTTCTGGAGAAACACCTTAAAGAACGCTTTAAAGATGAATTACTTATTTATTATTTGCCATAAAACAAAATAGTTATTTCTGAATTTTCTCACTCTTTGACTGTTTTATTTCCTATAAGGCCAGACGCCTTTATTAGGTTATGCAACTAGTTGACGTTGATCAAGGTTAAAGGTCATTTTAAACTACTTGGAGTCCATTAGGACAGGACGCCCCAGCAGATTCACCCCAAGGTCAGACTGTGGAGTGAGCGATCGCAACATTTCACTAGTGAGAGAAAAAAATGGCTCTAGAGTGAGGTGGAGCGTGAGAACTACCAGACAGATCGGTGCAGCTTCTGCAGTATTGTGGACGCTGTGCCGGTCCGTTGTGAACCTGCAGGAAAGCAGCAGATCCTGGACCAGAAACAGCTGAGACTGAGACCAGGACTTGGACCTGAGAAGACCCAGTCCCACAGATGTGGGAATGTGTTTCAGATGGAAGAAGGTTGAGACCAAATGAATATGTGAATGATACTGGGTCAGCACCATATTACCCAGTAAGTACACTGTATGTTACTCAATAAGTACACTGTATGTTACTCAATAAATACACTGTATGTTACTCAATAAGTACACTGTATGTTACTCAATAAATACACTGTATGTTACTCAATAAGTACCCAGTATGTTACTCAATAAGTACACTGTACGTTACACAATAAGTACACTGTATGTTACTCAATAAGTACACTGTATGGTACTCAATGAGTACCCAGTACATTACTCAGTAAATACCCAGTACATTACTCAATAAGTACACTAGTTTGTTACTCAATAAGTACCCTGTACGTTACTCAGTAAGAAACCTCTATGTTACTCAATAACTACCCTGTATGTTACTTAGTAAATATCCTGTATGTTACTCAATAAGTACACTCTATGTTACTCAGTAAGTACCCTGATGTAACTCTGAAAATACCCTGTATGTTACTCAGTAAGTACCCTGTATGCTACTCAATAAGTACCCTCTGTTATTCAATAAATACTCTCTATGTTACTCTATAAGTACCATCTATGTTACTCAAAAAGTACCCTGTATGTTACTCGGTAAGTACCCTGTATGTTACTCAGTAAGTACCGTGAATGGTACTCAGTAAATACCCTGTATGTTACTCAGTAAGTACCCTCTATGTTACTCAATAAGTACCCTGTATATTACTCAATAAGTACCCAGTACATTACTCAGTAAGTACCCAGTATGTTACTCAATAAGTACACTAGTTTGTTACTCAATAAGTACCCTATACATTACTCAGTAAGAAACATGTATGTTACTCAATAACTACCCTGTATGTTACTTAGTAAATATCCTGTATGTTACTTAGTAAGTAACCTGTATGTTATTCAATAAGTACCCTCTATGTTACTCAGTAAGTACCCTGTATGTTACTCAGTAAGTACCCTGTATTTTACTCAATAAGTACCTTGTATATTACTCAAAAGGTACCCAGTACATTACTCAGTAAGTACTCAGTATGTTACTCAATAAGTACACCAGTTTGTTACTCAATAAGTACCCTGCACGTTACTCAGTAAGAAACCTGTATGTTACTCAATAACTACCCTGTATATTACTCAATAAATATCCAGTATGTTACTCAGTAAATACCCTGTAGATTACTCTGTAAATACCCTGTATGTTACTCAATAAGTACCCTGTATGTTACTCAATAAGT